TAGTCATCGATACATGCTGGGATGTGCAGTTGTCTCTGCTAAACATGAAATCCAGAGATTTTGCAGAGGCGTTTGTGGAGATGATTCTGCACCGTGCCCGCCAAACGACTCAGACTAACATGAAGCACGATCTCAACGAGAAGCAGTTTGCATGTCGATCCGAGGAGTCTGTGTCGTCAATCGTGGGAAGACGTATTGGGCAGCGCCAGATCCCTTTGCACCTAGAAGCAGCTAGAGAGTCCAAGAGCCCACCAGCAGCTTGGAACCACCCAGAGCAGATCCAGGCTGGCAAGGCCGCTCGCGTTTTCTCAGACAGGGACAAGGGCGACTCCTTCGCAGCACACCTGCGAGAAGCCACTCGACGTTTAGGCCACCGGAGACTCGGAGACTGCCTACAGTTGTGGAGTCAAGCTTCCCTTCCGGGTTTTGGCTTGGGGACGTAAGGTTGGGTCGGAGAGCGTGTGGCACAGGATTACAGATGCCACATCAAAGAGAGTGCTGCGGCGAGACTGATGTGAAAACGTTGGGCACCACTGTTTGTCCGAAGCTGTTTAAAGGGTTTTGAGCCTTTTTCCATTCATTTTAATTAATCCAACACACGATAAGCTGTATTGGTCAGTTGGGACCGGCACGAAGTGTCACACATCCGCTGTTCAGTCGAACCTTACAGACGAAGTCAGCCATCAGACCGGCACTACACGGGAAGCAGCACGGCTTCATCGTGCGGGCATGCGCCAGCAGACAAATAGCAGACAATGCACGCTGCAGGGAGCTTGCCGCGGGCTTGTCTGCGCATGACATGTGCGAAGCGCAGCCAGGCACAGAATGGGACTGCGTTGTGGACTTCTCCGGCTTTTGTGGAGTCTGGGAGTGCACAGCTTCATAGGCGTGTGTAGTTGTGCATCTGATCTTTGCATGCAAGCAACCAGCACCCTCGAATGCGAACCTTGTCTCGCCGCACTGGGATTGAAGGAGTCTGAGCCGTGCGTATGTCGTGACGTAGTTGATACTGTAGAGTCCAAGAGAAAACAAACACAACGATGCAGAAGTGCGGCAGACACTCGCCCAAGGAGGTGACGTACATGCCTCGCTGCAGGGGTTGGATGGCGTGCCGAGCTCAATTTTCATTATGTTGACTGGTGTGCCTGCCACAAAGCCAGATGCCTCGACATCCAGCTCCAGAGGCATTCAAGCTATACATCTACATCTCTTCCGATTCAGTATACGAGGCTATGCTATGGTGCTTCCAGCGCTCTTTCAGTTCGTTTCGGTTCCGACACATCTCCAACGCATGCTCCTGCAGGTTAGCACCTGGGCATACGAGAAATGGAAGCCGAGGTCTGCTTGGCGAAACTGAGTTCGGGTTTACCTTCCTTGGCTTGATGCTTTCCCTTCCAGGAATCGCTTGGACGGTCGCCCGGGCTATGAAACACACGTTTCAGAAGGCCTGGCAGTTCGACCTGCTACCAAGGACGCCCGCGGCAAAAAGAGAGGTTAATGGAACCCCCTTGGGCTAAGCTTCCAGGCCTCCAGCTCCTGTCGGGCTTTAGCTTGGACGGCCAATGATCAAACGCAGAACCTCCAGGTCAGAAGGTGTATGGATGACGGGGTTCGAGTGTTGGAAGCCGCGGCCTAATGGCTTTCGAATTCTGCTGTGGCTTGTGGCAAAACTTTTCTGTGGTTGGTGCCAGCTTGGTTGGTAACTCGTGCTGGCGGCGCAGCTCTTGCAGGGTGGATGTGTACTGCAGACACTGTAGACCCGAGACACTGTCACGTTTTGGCTCACGAGCCGTCTCCAGTCTTCGAATTGCAACTCCTTGCTTGACATCGGCTGGCGGTGATCTTGCTGCTAAGCCAGCAGTTGTCATTCCGACCTTGCCACACTTGCAGGAGCAGCAGGAGATTGTGAACAACAATGATGGCTACGGGAACGAAAAACTGCAAGGAGAAGAAGTTCTTCTAAAGGAGCCCTGGGGCCCTGGGGCAGTGGGCAGTCTAGGCGAATCCGCTAGTAGTGCGAGCTGTTTTGCAGGAGCTACCGGCCGGTCGCAAATGCTTTATTCTTAGGCTGCCAGATGTCATCGGTCCCTGCGACTCTACGCAACTCGGCCAGAAAAGTGGGATCGGGGACACCTTTTTTTGGTTGTGCGGCCTGTCAATCCGAGGCATCGGCTTTGGGCATACTGGCATTGGCTGCGTGCCGGTGAACTTGGCGCGCCTCCACCACAGGTTCAAAGCTACAAGCGCAAAAGGCCGGGCAGGGAAACACACTCCAGCATGCCAGGCCGGGAAGACATTCCGAGAGTCAACTTGCAGTCGAGCTTTGCAGGAAAAACTGGGATGCGAACGGAGACGAGATAGCACAGGCTCAGCCAGCAAGCATTGGCATGATATTGATGTGCACGGATATGGACGGTAAGCACGGATTCACGCAGGCACCCGGCGATGCACAGCTGGCTCTTGTGTACAGCTTGGATGTTGCAAAGCTACTTGGCAGACTGCGAGGTCTTTCTGCTAGAGCGTGAACCGAGAAGCAGGCTTGCGGAAGCTTTACTGAGGTTTCTGCTGCGCTTGGTTACAGATCAACCCACCAAAGCCGTGGACATCGTAAACTTGTGTTGCATGGCCCTCGGCCTTCAGATTGAGGTTCTGCACGTTTCTCGGCATGTGCATTCTCGCACGGCTCAGTACTGTTAGTACGCAGAAGCTGACCCATGAATGCCTCGGCAGCCCCATTTGTGAATTTGGCCACATGCCGCCGCGCATCGCAAGTGCTGAGGCGAAGAGCAGCCACAACTCAGCGAGTTTCTGGAAAGATTGTTTGCCGCTTCTGGGGGCAACCGCAAGCGGCCGCGGCTTGCCCCAGACAGGAACCCGCACCCTGGCAGACAAACGCAGACACAAGCCAGCTTCCCGCATCATTTAGTGGCGGAGCCTTGTTACATGTTTGTTGCACCGAAGAAGGCTTTGCAGTTGGGTGTCGCGGTTTCCAAAAGCTAAACGTCCATGCAAGGAAGGTGTATCTTCCCAGCGTCGATAGACTCTGGCCTCTCAGTTGTGAACGGGCTCGAGAGGCGTATGGTGCCGACTCATGCGTGAATTCAAGCGACCCGCCTTTTTATTTTTGAGCCTGCAGTTTGCAGGTGTATGGTTTTCGGCCGACACCGTTGGAGGAAGTCCTCACGCGATGTGTCGAGTTCTTCGAGACAGGTTGCGCCGCTCTACGTCAAAAGCACCAAATTCGTTGTAGGTTGCACTTGTAAACTCAGCTGCTGAGCTTTTGCAGCTGCAAGGTGAAGTTCCCCGAGGAAGCAAGAAAAGCAGCAATGAAGCTGCCATCAGAACCAGCCGCCACAGCTATTAAGATTTTGGGTTACACAAGCAATCTGTAAGAAAGCATGCGGATTCCGAAACACGCCTGGGACGCGAAACGATGCAATCGCAGCAAAAGCATGCAGGCATTTTGCACACCAGCTGTGACTGTGATTCCTCGGCAAAAAGGCGAAACATTCTAAGGGATCCTTAATTATGGTTTGTGGAGGCCTGCTGCTTGGCGTCGACCGGTCCCTCCGAGCTGAGCACAAGGCCTTGGATGCCAGTGTCAAGTTTGTCCAGGCGTGGACCTTCTAGTATCATACAGCAGGCTGCTGGAATGGATGCTTCAACGGCCACCCCAGCTTGCCGGTGCTCCTGTTTCTCAGCTTTAGACGCGATTGCAGCAGGCTAAGATGGCGTCTTGCTTTCTCGCCCTCGCTAGGTTCTATTGAGCATGACGGAACTGCCCTATGCGCTCGGCTGCTCATGCGTTCCTGTTGTCGCAATTGCCACGTGGAACAACAGTCCGTTGCCTCCTGAGAGCCTGAGGTCGAGTCTCGAAATGGCGTGCCGACGGCTGCCGGCAACGGCCGCCTTCGGCACTGCAGCGGAGCGGCTGCTGCGATTGGCCCTGATCGAGGCCCTTGCTAGTAGCTTTCCGCAGTGCCTTGGCCTGCCTTACCTGAGCCGCATGTTCCTGGATTCAGGTCCCCGTGAACCAACTCCATCCGCAAAGCGTGGAAGCCAAAGTTGAAGCCTGAAGAGCAAAGCCTGACATCAACAGATTGACAACTCACTCGTGGCAGTGGCACACGATCTCTAGTTTCGACACGTTTCGGGTGATGGCCAGAGGCCCGTCTACTACGAGCGATGGCCCAGGCCGGCTGCTGTCTACGATTTTGACTTTTGTTGTCGGGTAGCAAGTTCTGTTGCAGGTCATGGGCGGCGATGCTGCTCAGCTTTGCGAAGCACTGCGGCAGCAGATCCTGTGTTGCTCTGAGCTTCGACTTGGTCGCTTGCTTAGTGAAATCTTCAAGTTTTTGGACCAGCCGAGCCTGCACTGTCAGGCCTTCCCTGCGCGCGGCTGCCCAGGCTGTCTTCTTTCTTCTGTGCTCTGTGTGCTTCCACATCATGAGAAGTGCATCGGCATGTTGGCCTGGGACGGGCCTCACTTCGTACTTGCCCTGCTGCAGAAGCTGCTACTACCGCCTCAGCAACAAGCAGTTTGCAGCAGCAGCAGCAGCAGCAACAAGAACGGTAACCACGACGGTCACACCGGTGCGACTACCCGTGGGGTGGGGCGTTGTGTGCCAACCACCCCCTGTGGGGTGGTTATAATCGTGCTGTTTTCTTGGGTCAACTGTCGTGGGAACTGGCCTGTCAGGAACGCGATCCTTGCATTCTTAATACCCTCATGCCGGAGTCGTGGTTCCACCATCAGGACGAGATCCTCGTGACAGTTAAGGGCATGGGGAGAACTGCACACAGTCACAGAGATTCGGCATGTTTGGTTGGACCCGGGCATCGGGGGGATTCCATTAGCTGGAGAAACGGCTTCTCTTCAAGAAACAGTGTTTTGCAGTCTATCAGGCTTTGATGCGGGAATGGTGTCTTCAGGGTGTATTATGGCATCAGGTTGCTCTGATCACATGAGGAAGCGAAGAACAAGTAGCAGCAGCCGTATTATTTGCAGTAGGAACCCTCTCATCGCGGTGATGGATGTGATAATAATGACAATCATCATAATGGTGTTTACTAAGGTGGCTAAGATGAACACTGTGAGGAGGAATCCGGTGTTTGTACAGGTATAAGCCGGTATGAGTGACAAAGAGGAGCATCGTGATGATGGTCCGGATGGTGAGCATGATGAAGATGAAAATATGGTGATGATAGCGTAGTACTTTATGGTGGTAGGATGATGAGGAGGATTACATGATCAGGAATACGGTGTTTGCATAGGTCTGAGTGGTGAAGAACAGCATTGTGATGATCCCGGCAGGAGCAAAGCAGCCAAAGCAGAGCGCAACCATCATAATCAACATCTGCAACAACATCAAAACCACCAGATCATCATGAAGACAACATGACCATCATCATGAAGACGACCACACGCAAAGATCTGGACAAACCAGCCTCCCCCCCTCCCAAAGAAAAAGCACTGTGCAACCATCACCATTAGCATCTTCAGCAACATCGAGACGACCTCAAGGAGCATGACACAATCACCGCACCCACAATGAAGACAACATGACCTTAGAACCATTAAGGCGACCACATGCAACGATTTGCACAAACCCGACGACATTAACCCCCAACCCCCCACCCCCCCAGCCCAAAACCAACAGAAGAACCCTGAAACATGCACACAAGTGGGTCGGGATGGGTGGTGTAAGCAACAGCAATCACAATCACCCACAGCCTGAACTAGTAACTTTGCAGCAACCACAAGTGCGACCACAACTGCAACAACAAGGCCAACAGTAGAATCTGATCCTTCGTGTTCTCAGTATCCTCTCCTCATGTGTTTAGGTTTAAAATACCGGTGCCAGCAAAGGAAAGATCAGCAACAGCCGCATCATCTGAACTGAACATCACCAGAATGAACCTTAACCGTGGCTACTAGCAATCCGTACTCCTGTTCACTGATGCGTTTGCTGTTGCTAGTTTGCCAGTACTGGCTGACAGGCATTCGTCGCGACGTTGGCTTGGTGTTGACGTACTGGTCGTAGTACTTCTGACAGGCAGTCAAGTATAAGTCCATCCTGACGAGACTTTATGTCACACCTACAGATAGTCAAACATTTCATCAGGAGCTGCTAGAAAGGTTGCAGCCAAGCCCCAGAACAGAGGCATGACACCATGCTTCAACGCAGTTCGACAATCAAAAGGTACCAAACCAGCATGCAAAAGAGCAGGCAGTACTACAGCCAACGCCGCCAAGGGCAAGTGCTTGCGCACCGCCCTCAAGTCATAATCTATTCTATTGCTGCCAAAATGAGATTGCACAATGCGCTGAATTTAACTCGGTCCGCCAAGCTGTCAGAGTCGAAACCTTCTACAACAACTGCACGGTCTCTAGACTTTTGCTCCAGAGGATAACAGCGACAATCCGCTGCATCGCAGCATCAGTGGCGATAGTGTCTTGCAGCCGCCCCCCTAAACATGTTGATCACAGGCTAAGGGGTGTGATATGGTGCGAGTAGTTGCAGGTCTCAAGCTTTACACCTTTCACTGGCGAAAATCGTGTAATTGTGAAAACAGGACAGAACTTCAAAGTCTTGTGATTCCAAGTCTAGACCTTGGGTCCGGTTCAACCTGGTTCTCTCCTGTGCGTGTGGCCAAGCCTTGAGCTCTTTCGGTTTCCAGATTTTATTTACAGATGGGACATCCGGGGGTCCTGCTTGAACAAGAATTATGTGCAAGAGCCACTGCGGCCTCGTGGGGCTCAAGTCGGGTGACTACCGGGAAGTACAATCGGGATTTGAAAGGCGTGCGTGGGTTTTTAGAATCAAAGGGGGAAATTCAGTATGCGGATGCCCTGTTTGTTTGGGGTGGGTGTGTAGTGGATGTGTGAAGGGGCCTTCTCTGTCAGTGGCGCAAAGCAGCATGTGGTCTTCGGCCCTGCCGCGGTCGCGGTCGTTTTCGTCGCGGCAGCATCACCACTAAAGGTATGATTGCGAGTGGCAAATACAAGATGACACATTGCGCCAGGTGCAGGAAAACTTGTTCTTCATGCTGCGAGCTTAGCATTCATGTTGCAGATGTTGGCAGACCAACCCCCTGCATGTTGCCTCCTACCCGGACAGGCGCATGGTGATCGCTATTCTGCATGCTGTCCTTCCGCGGATGCATGGCGAGGATCTGAGCAGAGCTCACAGTATGTATGGCACTTGTTGACACTGGCCATCACTGGCCGCTGCACGGCGACTTGCGAACAGGTGATGCACATCCTGCTATCTCCCTGTGGCGTGACAACTGGGATGTTTTGGTCTTCCAGCCCTGTTGTGATGCTTTGGGGCCACTGAGAGGTATAAGCCTAAAGCTACGACAGCTCATGTCGCGGCACACCAAACCAGTACCAACCCGTAACACTCCCGGTTCCAAGCCCACCGTGCCAGAACCGGCCAACCGAAGAAAAACATTGACACGACATGGATCTTTGGCGTTCCCTCGTGGCTTCTCCAGCAATTTGAGGCTGGACGGTTATAGCACTGTTGCAGCATAGTCAGCATGTACTCTCTGGGCATCCCGAGCCAGATGACGGGACTGAGTGCAAAATATAGCTTGCCTCTATTGGTTAAACTATCTATGGCCCATACCTGGCATGCCGCGACCCAAAGTTGGTGCGCCGCCGCCACCACCTGCCATAGCCAAGCCGAAGGCAGACTGCAGCTGCTGGATTTGCTGGCTTTCTCTCACCCAGGTATGTCAAGCGATCTATCAGTCCTGCAGAGGCTGTCAAGTGGTCCGAGAAGCAGAAGGCCGATCCTGGATCAACTCCGCCCAACCTTGATCAGATTGGAAGTTCTCCCACTCCGTTATACAAAGTACAGAGTTACATTGAGCATCGGTGAATGCTTGCACTTGCAGTGCCTTTCAGAGGAACCTGCTGCGTCTTGTGCCGGGCAGACCTGAAAATGTCAGGCCTCGCAGCGTTTGCACAGGCTTCTGAGTTTTCAGATTGTTCAGAAGCAGCTTGGCCTGCAACTTCTGTTCCCTGCATGTTGGCAAGAGTGATGTAAGGCCTGCTATCACTGTTCACTAGAGGTGGCGAGACGACGCAGTCAGCACCTCTACTCCCGAATTGGACTGGAGCGCCGTCGACTGTATCGTCTATGTCGCTGGAGGCGCAACGAGTTTGAGTTAGGACAGGGGAGTGTTAAAGCGCGGAAGTAGCACTACCGCTGGGCGGTATGCTTCCATTTTGAACTTGCTTCACATTGCCTGGAGGTAGTGGTGGTGTTTTACTTGCACGATTCCGTGGGGCCCCGCCCCGGCTGTGCTGCCTCAAACCGCAGCGAATGGATGCTCATGCTGAGCTGTTCCTCGGACAACATTGTAGGGTTGGCAGCGAAACCGAAGGGCTTGCTTGCGAAGTAACTGCATGTTCCCGAACGTTGAAAGGTGTGCCAGCATCCTGGCCGATGCCCTGCACGTGCGGACTGCCTCGCTACAGGTCGTACAGCTTTCAGCTGACATAGCCAAAGCATTAAGTGTTCCGGTTGCAGTTGCAATGTATGCCATTTCGGTTCCAGAGCATGACTGACATGACTTGAGGATGACAGACGTAGGCCAACATCGCACGTGTCGTCCGACTCGCACTAAGGAGGAGCCCGCTTAGCAATTGATGACCATGCTGTTTACCGGGCCGCTTGCTTGGCCAGTTTGAGCGTGCAGTCTGGGAGTCAACAATAACCGCATGATTCCCTATCCTGTGCTGCTGAAGAAAGGACCGGCTGCTGGCTGATGCCAGATACTTGGGAATCGTGGAGTTTGTGAACGGTCCTATGATGGAGGGTGAGGAGAGAATGACAAAACATAATGCACGGGCTCTTATTAAAGCAGTCCAGAAGTCAGAAGAGCATCATGCAGCCTTTTCGCGCCGTTTCAGATGTTTCGCACATTCCACATGCGTGCTTCGCTGACTTGCTTGTTTCTTTCCATCTGCATGCAGAGCGAAGGAGTTCGTGAAGATGTTCGAGGAGGGATCTGGAGCATTGGTTCGCTTTTGGACTGAAGCCGGCATCCTGATCGCGTTTCCAGGCTATGTTAGGTCCGGCGCAGCTGCTACAGGTCCTTCTGCAGGTGTCTATGCCATGCATGTAGCAGACATCAGTCTTCAACATGCCGCACGCCCGAGCGGAAGACGCTGTAGTAAGGAATGTAGCAGTCCGAATGTTGGAACACGATCCTGACGCCCTGACTGTAAAGCATAGGGAATCCCAGCGTGAGTCTTTCTTGCCTTTAACCCATGCTCCAACTTTCTGGGGTTCCCTGCCAGTCTTGATCTGAACACATCCCAGGTTCGATTGCTTGATCAACAACTTGGACCGCCTGCCCATCATCTGGAACAACAGTGGGAATCTTAAGCTTCATGGCTGCATGTTCCTGCATGTTGCCAAGGCACTGTGAGAATTGGGCAGATCATATAGGATATGGCATGATGGATTAATTAATTGCCCAGAATCCGTTTCACCAAGGAATCTCATGGTGGAAATGTGCTCCACCACAGGGCCACACGTGGTGGGTATTGACCAAGCGGCTCCCCGGACAGGTTACCAGAAGTTTGTCGTTGACGTCGTTGGCTCTGTGCTCTGCGGCGACAATGACAATTCTGTAGTACGTGACCAGCTGCAGGTTCGTGGCATCAGCGCAGCAAGTGGGCTGGAGCGGTATGTGGAGCAGCTGCAATGCCTGCTGAGGGTTGTCCTGGCTTCTGAGACCGAGTGGCGAGAGAGTCCGTGTCTACTTCGAGTACAGAAAGCCATCGAGGCCAATCAGTTTCGGTGTCGGCTTAGAACACGGATCTCTGAAGGACAATCAGGGCATCAGCTCCGCAGGCCAATTTCCAGGACAAGTTTCAAGTCCATGCCAGCGCTTTGAAGCTGGGCCTGCAACAGGTCATCGGGGCTGGCTTTTGCGACTGTCAGCCGCCGTTTGGGATTGTCATCCTGTGACCTGATCAGGCCTTCCGAAGGTTTGCTTGGTGCTGGTGCAGCAGGTCTCTTCAGAGATCCTTGGATGAAGCCATGAACAAGGCCTGGGATGTAGCGCAGGATGGTGGAATTGAGCCTCGCATTTCCTCGCTTCTATGCTGCAGAATCCGACACCAGTGACTGCTTGGGTTGTTACTGGGAGAAGGTGATGGCAACCTTCGGATGCGGTGCAGAGCAGCTTCTGCCATTGCGGCGAACGGTCGAAGTGGCGGCTGCCACTGTTGCCGCGCCTCGTTGTCCTGCACTGTCGCTGTTGGCCATTGTCGGGAGCCTCTGATCTGAGCCTCTGAGCAGAGCGTGGAGCTGATCAGGATGAAGTCCACAAGGCCCAGCTCAGCATCATACCGCATCCCATCCTGCAAGTCTTTCGAGTCTTGTCTTTGTTCGTGGCATGGGCAAACAATGCATGAGAGGTCCAAAGACCGGGTTTGAACCGAGGAAGGTGCATACCTTCGGGGCAGCTGCCACGAGACGATATGGTCAGTCTTCTTCGTGGGTTGGACCCAAGTCTGGAGATGAGGGAAGTGCAGAAGTTCATGGTGGACTCCTTCTCTGATTCTGCTCACGTGGATTGCCCCAGTCTCAGCTAGGGCCAGGGCTAGGGCCAGGGCTCCCTTCAGCACTGTGTGGCCCAGATCGTATAAGCCCAGGCACCGACTTCCTGCTCCTTCTCTGGTCAAGCCAGCAAGCCAAGTGACTTTGCTGGACTTTGCAAGCTCTTCTGGACGACTATCTTTCCGTCGACTAGATCTGGCGCCTACATGTGGTCAAAGACCCGGCAATCGGTGGCAAGAAGAGCGCTGGCTGTAGCATACCACTCGGGTATCTTGTCCCACTAAATAGCTCTTGACATGCAGTACGTTGCGAAGCAATGGCTTGGTGTCGGCATGCTGTGAGTCTGACTGTGCTCACTCTGGAAGACTTAGAAGCTGACAACATTCGCAAGCAAAAGCTGGCTGATGGTCGGTGCCGGCTGGCCATCTGCTCTGCCATTTAGCCTGCACCGACAGTGGCTTTACCTGGGCCTGCGCTTCACTCTATCGATGTGCTGAGAAACATTGTCGGCAGCATGCTAATCGGTGCCAGGAAACTGCTCTTCTTCATCAGCCCTGTCGTATCGCAGCGAGCCTATCCCGACCTTGACGCAGCTCACGTTGGCAAGGTCCTGTGAACCGGGTCTAGCCGAGGAATCTGACGGACGGGAGCAGCCGCTCGATGCCGCAGCCGAGGCAATCTTGGCAGGGGACACGCTCCGACAGCCATTTTGGATGTGTCCCCTTGTCTTTGAGGCCTTCATTTGATGTGAAGGGCTGGGTCTCCAATGTCTCCATGCCGAATGCGCAGCCATGAGCTGGCGCGGACACATGGAACTTATTGGAACTTTTGAGGAGCCCCCGCATGCTGTAAAGGTCCGACTGTCAAGAATGAAGGTAACATAAGGCAATCGCGGGCCATCTGGAGCTGAGGCCGGTCTAGACTCGGCAATATGCTGAGCGCAGGAACCTGAAAATTGTAGGGACTGCCAACAGACAACACTGCCACTGGTGTGAACTGCATTCGTCCCACCATGCTTGAACGGTCACGGTCTTTCAGCACGGGGAGCGAGGGCGGGGAAGTACCTGCGAGATTGCTGTGCACGTAGCTTGTTTGCGGAATGCAGCAAATCAGTTGCGAAATGTACCTTCGTCAGTGTCGTCGTCGTGGTCGTCGTCGTTGTTGTTGTTGGAGGCATTGGCGACTGTCTGGGTCTCGGTTCGCGACTGTGACTGATGGATGCGATATCTTTCAATGACGAGTCGCGACCCTGAGTCCGAGACAGTGAGGCCAACAGCACATAGATGCGCATGGATCTGCAAATGTGGCAGGCCTGCGCCCTTCCTGAGCTTTTCCAAGAGGCCATGGTATCCGAGTCAAGGTCCACGTGTACCACGCGACAACGACAGGCTCTTCAGCTGCTCGCCGTGGGTGTCGCTCGACGCCACAAATCCGGATCCGAGGCGCAGCGGCTGCAGTATGGTGCACCATGGTGCAGCAGTAGGAGAGAAACGAAGGGTGCTCGGCTCTGCCACGGCACATCGCCATGTCTGGAGGGTCCCCTTCAGCGGCGTAAAGAGAAGCTTTCACACTGTCAGATCTGCCTCGCTGCGATGGAGTCTATGATGCAGCGCCTGCCGTCCACTCAGCTGCTCGCTTGCGCGAGGCGATCTACGATTCGCCAAGCACCGCAAAGCAGTTTCTCGCTAGGCCCAGCCCTCCGCTTGAGCCGGCCTTGACAGCCCGAGCCGTTTCGGCTGCAGTGCGCCAAGCGACAGAGGCAGGAAGAACTGCAAGAAACTGTGTGCACAGGTCTGCAGTTTCAATGCATTTTCTTGTGCCACCTGCGACCTTCTCCGTTACTGTCGCGTGTCACGTGCTTTCCACGCTGGAGGCGGTTCTGAGTCAGCCAGACAGCCATCAGAACCCGGCAGTGTTGAAGGCGATGCTGCTGCGCTTAACTGCTGCTCAACCGATCGAAGCCTTAGCTAAGAGACGAGTGTTTCTACAACAGCGCAACAGGTAGAGCACTTCTGGCATGTCCCTTTCTCGCTCAGTATGAGGTCATGTTCACAATACCATATCCCAAGGCCTTTATAAGCTGCAGTGATCGGGATGTGTGCATCAAATTCAACTGTGACCTGAAACTTGTGTTGGCATCACACCTCATGGACAGCAGCATGCTGGAACAAGCATCGTACCGGTAGCGACATACTGCACTGAATGCAGCAGCCTATCATCAACAACAACAACAACAACAACAGTTCTAGGCGGCCAAAACCGCCACTGAAAAAAATCAAACATGACCAGCTCTGGAACAAAGCCATCATGCCATCGCAGCTTCCCCACGGGCCTGAGCAACGCGACGAGCAGGCACTTTTCGCGCTTTGGTCACGTGGTCTTGCAGCAGGAAAGGCCGCGGCAGGTGCGGTACTAGCTTCTCGAGCGTTTACTCTGGAGCTGCGTCGATGCAGGATGTTGAGGGCAGTTGTGCAAGCGCGCGGCTCTTGTCAAGGTTTGCTGCGTCCAAACTTGCTGGACAACTACACGCAGCTCTCTTACTCGATTCGAGCCAGCGTGACACAAGGACCTGCCTAAGTTGGGTGGCTTCGGGTACGAATGCTGTCCAAGGACTGTGGATCAATTGATCGGCGTGTTCTGCAGTGCCATGCCTGGCCATGCCCCGAGAATCAACACAAGGAAGCACGTGTTCGAGGTATATCCGCGCAGAATCAAACTGCATATATCCGGCCTCGAGTGCAAAATGGCACTTTGTAGCGGGCCGAGTTCATGCTGAAGAGCGAATGGTTCGTTGGTTGAACCTTCTTCTGCCTCGCGTGTGCCGCTCAGCTTCTGTGGAGCCTGGCAGCTTGGCCTAAGCTCGCCGCCGCCCAGACCAGGATGGCCGGGAGGAACACCACACCGCCTGCTCGATCCTGCAGGTATCCCATGGGTAGCTAGGTAAGTTGTGAATGTCTTGCTTAGTTGCATCTGTTCTCACTGCTGACGTGTACCTCTCAGCTCGCTGTTTCCGGGCCGATCTGAGGAAATGGGAGTAAGCGCGCCATCGGCTTGAGGAGGGGTCAGGTTTTGAAGAACTGTGAGCAGGGGTCGGGTTGTACAGAACCGCGAGTAGGTGCCATTTCTTGACTGGTACGGGCCGACGCAACGGCAGCAGGGGGGGACGCAAGCGACCACGACTCGTGGGTAAGCGTTTGCGATGCGATGCTTGTGTCACAAGATGTCACAAGTGACCGTGGTACCGGTGGTAGCCGAAGTGGGGTGGCAGAGTAACTCGTATAGCCGAAGAGCCAAGCAAGTTTGTGGGGACCTCTTCGAGGGATCAGGCATGTTGGAAGCCAGAGCAACAGGAGCAACTAAGGATTCTGCAGGACAAGCCCGGAAGGGCACAAGTAAGCAAAACAACGTTGCAAGCAAGAGTTCCGCCCATCGCCATGTGCTTTGCGACGTTGCATGGTGTGCATTCCAGGCCTTGCCATCGATTTACGCGGCGATTTTTCAGGCCTTAGCAGTGCAGGCCAGCTCAGGTCTTCCTGCATTGAACGTAGGAGAGTGTGAGCTCCGTGCATGAAGTGAGGACTCCTTGACACGCTGGGTTGGAAGCTTAGTTCCTTCACGCCACACCGTTTTAAATTGGCTGCCGAACCAGCAGGACGGTGGAGTCATGGACGTTGCGGAATTCATGTTCTTCTCTGCGGCCAGACCCTGATTTCTTGTGACCTCAAGCACCGTGGCCGTGTTGATCAACTCCGACTGCCTAGGAGATGTTTCCAAGTGGGTATTCGGCAGCTGTCGTGGCAGGTCGTCTTGTCATGGGTTTGCGGAAGCCCGTAATTGGCGCATGAATGTGCACGACGAATTGCTGGCGGATTGGCATCGTATCAGTGTAGCATCGCTACGGCAGTACAGCATGTGGGTTGTGGCTGCAGGCTTGAGTGCAGTCCCACAACTGTGCCGGGCCCAAGCTTGCCTGGAGTGGCATGTACCTCCTGTATAAGCTATTGAACGCCCTAACTGCCGCGATTTGTACTCGTATTTTCAACATCCACAATTTTGCGCAAGGCCTCTATGGAACCAGCAGCAAGTCCTGCAGCTGCTCAACGGCCGTCGGTGCCTTCCAAGCATGTACAGTGGATGACACCGATGTGGACCCATGTCGTTCAAAGTTTGAGTCTTCCTATCGCAAGCCACCCTTACACGAGAGAGCGAGAGAGACAGAGAGTGGCTACCCTGAGCCATCGCGGGGGGTATCCCCCCAGTCGGAGAACTCAAACCTGCCTTGACCTGCCTTTGCGCGTGCACGCGCAGGGGATCGCAGGGGGGTGGGGGGACTGCCCGCCCTCTCTGTCCTGGTAGAGAGAGATACAGAGAGAGAGAGAGAGAGAGAGAGAGAGCGCAATGATGGATGGGGCAGCGCTTGCGCGC